TTCCAATACTTGCACATTCAAACTTTTCAATGTTTCACAATTTCTGTGTACGGAAAATCGGAAGTAGAAAAGACAAGAAAAATACAAATTGTAATTTCAAGTCTTAATCTTTTGTATTTTGGCAGAATAAGTAAGTGTTGTTCTGCTTTACCAATAATGAAATATAAAATGAACAAAAGCAGACTTCACTGGCATGGGATTTGTTTTCTTCCTTTACCTGATTAAGTTGCGCTGGATCAGAAAAAATAGTCACAACGTTTCAACAGTAAAATAGATCAAAAAGAAAGAACATACTTATATTTCCCTTTAAATTATGTGATAAAGATTATTTTTCATGTGTTTATTGAAGACAAAAAAACATATACGATCGTTTTAAGTGAAAATGGGTCACCTGTAGGCAAAATTGTAGGAAGTTTATTCATACTTGCCTCAGCCAATCACCTCGATATCCACTTTGAAAACTGAACACCAAAATCTTCCATCTGTGGGCGAAGACATCATTTGTGTGAATGAGGACTAAGGTGACACAATGATTGGAGGACTTGCGACACTCATTCTTCTCAGTATTTTTGGTGAGTCCAGATCCACTCTGAGAATTTTCAGAAGACTGCTGTAAAAGTTTAGGTCACTTTATATTTTGAGAGGTTTTGTCCCAGGTCGTTTTGTAAATTTATTATCCTTTGTCTGTTTTATCTTTAGCTGTGATTCAAACCCTCGGGGTTTCTCAACGGATCTCTTTGACTGAAGCTGCACTTGGTGAAAATGTGACTCTGTCATGTAAAGTCCTTGAAGTTAAACCAGGGTTGTTTTACTGGTTTAAGATGGGTTTTGGACATGTGGTCCAAACAATTGTTCTCGGGAGTTTTGACAAGTTAGTCCTTCAGGGTCAGTTTAACAATTCAAGGTTCAACGTGACGAGAGTTGGTAACACATATTTTCTCACCATACAAAATGTGAGAAAAGAGGATGAAGCGACTTACCTCTGTCAGGCGGGGACAGCATATACAATGAAATTCTTTAATGAGACTCACGTGGCTGTGAATGGTAAGCTTCAGACATCTTTCAACATGTCTTACAAATGTGTCTGTACCAAAACAAAACAACTACATTTAAATCTATTTTGTGTCTTTTTGGGAATCACTCAGATCCGAATAAGAAGCTGAAAGCCTTATATGTGAAACAATACCCAGAAAGGGAGCAGGTCCCCCCGGGCAGCACTGCGACTCTGCAGTGCTCGCTTCTTTCGGGGAACGAAGAACCCGACGGATGTCCAGGTGAACGCCGCATGTTCTGGTACAGATCTGGATCAGAACAGGATCCAGGCGTCATTTACACCGGCAATTTCAGCTGTGACGATCAAGAAAGAAGAAGCTGTGTTTCCCATCTGTCCAAACCCATCCAGAACCATTCAGACACTGGAACTTACTACTGCGCCGTGGTGGCATGCGGAAAGATCCTTTTTGGTAAAGGGACTACGCTTGAGACAAGTATGTCTTTTTTTAAGCTTAATTTTTATGGAGGTTTCAGGATATTTATGTCCATTAAAGTTTTGTTTGTCTGAAGTACTTGAAAAAAGAGACTGTGTTGTGGCAGTGTGAAAAATGACTGTACAGATTTGTTTTTAGGTCGGCATAGGCTGCCTCTGCCAACATTTCCTTTCTGTCCTTATTGTGATGTTCTGAGCAAGTGTTTTTTAGTCATTTCCTGCAGTGTTGTTCTTCATATCAAGGGCACTCAGTGATTCATCTCTTTTAAGCAATCTTTGCTTAAAAGAGATTGTAACATAATGTGATGCAATAGGAAAAACCACAAGCTAGGACCAAATCAAAATAAGAATGACATTTTTTATTAATTGAAGCTCCTCTGTGTTAGGAAGCAATGGTTTACACCTGTGAGGCTGCACACAGGAGCACCATGCTTTTCCAGATACAATACTTAAATGCTAGTGTTTACCTATACTAAACACATGATACACAGAATCTCATGAAATATCAATCTCAATGCAGATTTTTCCATTTCTGGGAAAATGAAAACTTTTTTGACTCGACAGTATGTAGTTTGCATAAGGGACCAGCAACATCTGCGCAGGTTTTAAAAGTAGTGCAACATCCCTCAAATACATGCCATTTACAATCTGTCAGAGGGAACACAAGGCCCACATTTAGTTGTGTCCGATACTGTGGAGGTTGAAGCTCATGGTGAGTTTGACTGATTTGGAAAATTGCTAAAGATTAAACGATACTGTAATTGTCTCATTGGGAAATTTTCTATTTTCAGAACAAGAATTCCCCCTCATCATCGTGCTTGGGACACTGCTGGCCTTCATGTCGCTTTTGAGTATTGCTTTGATTCTCACCAAGATAATGCAAAAGCAAGTTTGTGAACATTGCAAAGGTAAGCTCACTAAGAATTGGGTGCAGAACAATTCAATTAAGTCAATAAAGTGTAGGTTCTCATTCTACTGTGCAAATCAGAGCGCAGATTCCAGATGACCTCTCAAAATGTTCTGTCATGTCAGACTCCAGGACATTTTCAGGAGAGCTTTTAAGAGGTGTTAAAGCCCTTCGCAATTACTACTTTGATCAAAATATGAAGATTCAAATTGGCATGATTTCATAAAGCAAGACAAATGTATTCATGGGTTTGTATCGCGGTTAATGTTTGGTTATCATTAACAGGAGATTCAAGTGCATCCGATTATGCTGAATGGGTCAGATCATCCAGAGATCAACAAAGCAATGTGGTAAATACATTCATACATGCGGTCAAACACAAAGCTTGGATCGTGCTATTCCCTCAACTCTGGAAAAATGCCATTAGGGATAAAGGGAGTCCTGATTTTTAGGACTAAAACACAAAGCAATTGAATTATGTAGGACAAACAAAGGAATTAATTTAGCTATCAAAGTCCTAAAAGTGAAGGCTGTTAAGTGGGTGATTTTTTACCGTTCAATAAAGTTTCAATAATGAAAAATCTATAATCTTTTGATAATATGCTGTTTGTTGTGTGCAAAATATTAAAATGCCATCTCTAACTTTATCATTTCACAGAATGGTGAAGACGTCAATTATGTTACGCTGGACTTCGCCTCAATGAAAGCTAAAAGATCGAAGAATAAGAGGAACCCGTCTGAAGACTGTACTTACTCATCCATAAAGGACTATCATTAAAGGACATAAAGGATTAACTTAATGTTGCTTTTGTTCCATCAAAGCATCAGAAATGTGCAACCCGCCTCTGCACTTCCTCAGACCATATCCTGTAGGTCACAAAAGACCTGCAGGGTTTGTCTGACAAAGATGAGACAGCCTTCAGGGACCTTAAAATCACCCCCTCAACAGAATGGACAAATTACCCACGGCAGGATCTCTCTCTTTACTTTCTAATTCAGATCATTTAAAAGCTGGATGCGTTGAAAATCTAAATAGGCAAGCTCCAAGGGACTTTTTCTTCTGCTTCAACAGAGTTTTTAAGCACCTTTGAGAAACCACTTTTTAAAACTTAAAAAAAATAGTTTTCATTTTTCTTTTTTTTTAAACTGGGGTTTCTTTTGCGTACTCCCCCAAATGGTTATACACAAGCCTCCCTAAGTCTCGTTCTACCAGTGTTCTTCCCTCTCTTTTACTACCTGACTTCCCACTATGTCTCCTTTCTAAGTCTTTGAATTGTTATAATATTGTCTTGTTGAATTAAACTGTATTCAGTTATAATAAACATTGGATTGATATCAAATTGAGTGCTCGAAAGTCCCAATCATCATAGATGGACACAAGGATTCATTGTCCACATTAATCTTTCTATTACACCTTTCGCTCCGATACAGTTTCCATGTTGAAGATCAATAAAGTGTAATTCAATCGTGCATTTTTGAAAAATCACTGCAGAAAAAATCAATTACAAGGACTCAATGCGAGAAAATGATAACCGACAGGAAATGATATTTTTAGATAC